ACGCACCCCTCCCTACTTTAAAACATAGTAAATTATCTTCTAGGCTACTCTCGTCAGAGGTGGCCCCGCTTGCAGGACTATCAAACAACACAAGCATCTTGAGTTTCCCCATTTGCTGTCAGGAGTCCTTTAACCGATGGCAAGGCCTATTCTTCTCCACGGCAGTCAGTCATTATTACTCCTCGGCATAGCATACTATTAAACCCAGAAGCACCAATTACCTGTATGACGAATGCAGTCGGAGAGCTAAGCCTACATTCGCTGGGAGGTGTACGGGTTAGTTGGACTGATCTCGGCGCAGGTGGCTCGCGAAGATTGAAGTTGGAGCATTCCGCAAGCCTGTCATTGTTGAATTGAAGTGTAGACGAGGTAAACAAGCTATAAGGACTGCCAGAGATGCGTTTATATTGGGGTTTTGCGGACCAGCATTTTCTTTTTCTGGCGTGGAATCGCAACTCAGATTGAACGCCAGATCATAACGTTCGTAGATTATTTATTGGCCAGCACTGCTGAAAGATCGTCCGAACTGTGTTTGTAAGCACCTAGTTACAACTCTCAGGCTTGAACATAAGAGGCGTTACCGGATTGAGCCAATATGACAGAATGACAGCAGATAAGTGAAATTTAGTAGTGAAAGCGGCGTTGAATGTTATGTACTTCTATAATAAAAGGTCGACGTGCCTACGGAGTACCTAACGATCACCATATACGTACAGAAGCTAGAAGTATATTTGCTCTTCAAAATAAAAAGGCGTAATGAAAATGTTTCGCCACGTGCACAAGTAAGGGGCTAGACATCAAGAGTATAAATACCGGTTCGTGTATGAATTCCGCAGCGCAAGATGTATATCTTCGGTGTTGCTATATACCATGTTGCGTACGTTATAATGTGTATGCCGATGTCCATCTTGTGTAGGTATAACGCAAGCTCGAAGCGGCCTATGCAGTTCACTGTTTTTAGGAAATGCTTGACTTTTTTTTGTGTCGTTAGTCCTAGTGCAGCCGGAGTGTTTCTGCTCTTGGAGGGAGTTGTACTCCAGCCGGACCAGATAGTGAAACTCCGAGAGAGAGTAGCGAAACTCTCGCAGAGAGCGCATGAACTCTATTTCAGAAGCGTGACTGTACTGTGGCGAGGGAGCTCATTCACAGTGATCTCGTTGAACCGGAGTACCGGAACTCTGTTGAGAAAGTGTGCCTACTGTGTTCCCAGCACTTCTGAAAAGAAAGTGAAATATGGCACAAGCCTCTACTCCCGCAAAGAGAGCTGTCAGCACTCTCTTGGGGCTGTGAGTGAGCTTCATCGACGCTTTGATTCTGCAGTGTCTGCATGACGGGTGATTACTGCACGATGCCTTCTGCACGATGCCTTTATTTGAATACGCTTCAGCTATTTGGGACGCACTTCACGCCTTCGTTATCTAGAATATTGAACCATTGCAAAATCATGCTGTGCGCTTTATTTTTTCAGATTACTCACGTCATTGAAGTACTACTGCACTAAGAGATCGTGCCGAACGTCAACCATTATCCCATCATCGCCAACAGCTCACCTTTAATTTTTTTTTCATAAGCTCTACCGTCCTTCTATTCGTTCTGACCATTTATTCAGCCCCCTGCAGTCATTTTTCCTCACCGCGGTCACCAACAAAGTCAAACGAGCCACATGTCACACTCATCCTTTCTCTGATTGTTTCATACCTCGCACTATCATCGAATGGAACCGTTTACCATCTTACGTAGCAACCAAAAAAAAAAACTACGAAATTTCAAGCTCTTATACGCACTGAGCGTATTATCTAAATGTGGTGTACTACGCGTTTTTTTAGCGTATCCCTTTTGTCAGTCTCCGTGTACATCGTTTTAGATTTTGTGTTTCATGTACCCAGTTTGAGAGGGAATCCTGCATTTACAGCTTTTCTACCTCTTGTGTCTAATTACCCCAGTTACTGGTGTCGTTATGTGCTGTTATGTAGTATGTGGCAGTTTGAATTTATTTATTTGTCGTTGTTCTTTTCTTACCAAATGTATTCCAGCCAATAGTCAGCATTGTACATTTTTGCCATTATTTCACTCCATTATTTTTCCAATTTATTGTTACATGTCTCCCTATGTAATACCCTCGTCGAGAGCCAGGGGCATGAAGAGTTACGTTCGTTGCACCCCAAGACGTGAAAATACAGCTGCTATTGCATGAAAATAGATTACACACAAAAAATGAACGTATAGGTAACAATATGAAAAGACCCACAGAACAGCAAAAGTGCAAATAACGCACACAACTACACAAATAGTGCAAACGCAACACGACGGTAGTTTCCGCAACACTTGACTCCAACATGAACCGAACAAAGAAAAGAAAAATGTTGGTTACGTTTCGTTTGGTGCGCACCTTCACACAAATTTTCTTCTACACGTTACATCACTTTTTCGCAAGAGGAGTCACAAGCAGTTGCCGCGGTAAAAACAAAGCAATTTTAGGTGCCATGCAAGCTGTTAACGAGGCAGGAGTGTTTATTTGGAAGATTGCGTCCTAGCAGACGTTTTTCTAGATTTGCCACTTCTCTTCTATTGAGCTCGTCAGAACTTCAAGCAGTTTGCGTGCGCAGAAGATGACGATGCAAAACATAACTGCAATTTTAACAAAAGTTCACTCATGCACCGAATTCAAATACGTGTATCGGCTCAAAAACCACCTAACAACGCAAGCGGCGACTCACTTTTTTGAGCCAAGAAACGATTTGGCATAAATGTACTGCGCAGCATTCTGTACAGTTTTTTTTTAAGCAATCTACAAAAATATTACGCGAAGAGAAGACCGCAAAAAGATCTCTGCACCAGGAGCACAATACCAGAAACGTTAGCTTAAGCCTTCAATGACAAATGAAATACGCACCGCCCTGCACAAAGTATGGATGCCGTTCGTACCTATCATGCAGCAGCCAATCTGAGGGGCCGACGAAAGAAGTGAAGACCACAACGCACATCGGGTACGTTATCACACATCTTTTATAGCGTCTCCCTGCTGCGCTCCATACTGCTTTGTTGCTTAAATGCTCATGAGCATGAAGTGGTACAACGTCGACGTCGTGTCGACGTCATCCGCACTTCTCTCGCATCCGATTCACGCCTGATTTCAGCGCGACGTTATCGCATTGCAAAATTGCCAATAATAAAGAACGACTCAGGTGACAATCATAGTCGCAAAAACACGTAGACGTGTAATGCACTATGAAAGTTACTCTAGTAAATAACAAGTACCCGTGTTTACTTGAAGCAGTGAGTGATGTGTTGCCATCTTATGGCTAGTGTGAAGATGCGTAGCACCACCGCTTTTGGCCAGAGTGATCACTCTTGTAATTTTTATGTTACTCTATAGGCAGAAGCTAACTATTTCACAACAGACAAATAGTGTCTTGCTATACACTGTACTACGCCAAAGTCTCACCTCTACTTCCAGAGACGGCCCTTCAAAGTTATCGAGTGACCTCCACGCCTTGTGCTGTCTAGCGAACTTGAAGGACTCTTCAGGCCACCTCACACGATGGAGTCTATGACTTCCAAAAATCACAGCACAGCCACCTTCACTCCGCATGCTTCGCATCCGGTTGATTCTAAGGTACGTGGGATCTGCCGAATTCTTTTATATACGACTGCTTCATCACGCGTTTTGACTAAATATGCAATTGGTAATGGTCTGGCATCAGCATTCAAACCGAATTTGTCAATGCATGCTAGCCTTCTGTGCTGGCTTAGTGCCCTGCATGACCCTCTTTTTCAGGCGCTTATCTTTTTCTAGCTTCTTCATGTCTCACTCCATTTTGACATTGTTGGCTTCAAAGTGTCTGGAGTGTTAAAGTTTTGCTGATTCAGAGGTGTAGCACTCCTACTCACGTTTTCTGGCATTGACAAGTTGCGCGCTCTTGACTTGCGAAATGATCGGTTACTGCTACGTGATTGTTACGTTGAGTGTATACGTCGCGGGTGATTTGATTGCATGAAAAGTAAACGCGAAAGGTTTCTAATTGCTAAAGAATAAACTGGCACAGGCTTTAACGCGTTTTTGTGTAATAATTAAAACTCCAATAAATATATAGAGTAGTAGACAGTGGTCCACAGCCGACAGGCAGATATACGTACTTGTAATTACACCTACGGCTAGCATAATGACGTAAAATAGTGAATGAAAATTTGAGTACAATATAATTATCGTTATGTAGAGCAGTGAAAGGCATAAACTTCATACGAAAGTAATGACGTGTATGCATCACTCACCGGATAGCACCAGCTTAAATTGATAGACCCAGACGACTCTCACCACAGCATATCTATCCGATGATAAGTGAACGCGACACTTTCAGCTGTTGAATGGTTTAGCATTTGTGGAATGTTTTTCTTTAAATTGAAATTTAATGCTTCGATTTCTCTATACGTGTTTACCCTAAACACACTGCCGCTAGGTTCTTCGTCAATCCTCCTGTTTTTGGTGAGGGCCGTAAAATATGGATTATTATCATCATCATACCCATCTCTAAGCAACTTTGCACCTTTGCTGGATGGCTGTGAAAGCTTTCGGAAAATAAACACCACGTGGTAACTGCAAGCGAAAAAGTATATCTATTTCATTGCTGGTTCCGTGCTCTAAAGAAGCCAATATCTCAGCAGTCTAAGTTTGCATTACCGCAATGATAATCGTATGCTGGGTTCCTCATCAGGTAAGAGAGGGGGATGAAAGTTCATCACAGCCACCCGCCTCCGTACCATGTCAACGTATGGGGCTGCGCTTCTTACGTAACTGGTGGGGCCCGGGTGCAGTTCGATGATTGCAATAAACATAACGATACCCTGCGTGCGACGAACTAAAGCTGTGTTCATCGCAGGAATAAGTCAGGCGGTGGTGAGGAGGTCGTGCAACGCAAGCGGCCGCCGGGGCGGGGCCTTGCCAGCGGGGGGCTGCACGCAGAGTAGGCCACCGTCCCTGCACCGCCGTCAGTCGACGCCGGAGCCGGTTCCGGGCAGGATCACTTTCGCTTTTTCGCTCTGACATGTGCATTCTGTGAGGTTACTTGGGAAGGAGGAGTGCCCCTCGTGACCTTGGCTGCGCCATGCTCAAGGGATGGTTTGATGCCTTCCGTACTGAAGGTGGACCCACGCTCTATGCGTATGCCAACAGAACTGCGGTGACCGAGGACATACGGAATATTCTAATCTACGTGTGTTTTTCGACGCTCTTCATCGCTTCATCATCGTCTTCCCAGGGATACGCAAAGAGGTAAGCTGCGATGGCCTTCGCACGAAAGCGGTGCTGCTCTGGAGATGATATGACACTATTCCTAAGGAAATGTCCCGCAAATCATCTTTATTTGCAGCTAAGTGTCAGTGTGGCTTTTCCAATTCGTACTGTTTCATTGGATACTTCTGCTGAAGAAGGGGCCGATTTGTGAGCTAAGGAAGGAACTAATAAATGAAATGTTTTTTTTTCGTAGCGTCGAGTAGCAGTTGGGGATTTTTCCACTTGGCAGCATTACCACCTTGGGTAAAAAACCACGCGATAGCATACTTGTCAACAGTGTTGGTATCATAATGCACTTCTTGAAAAAACATACTTGAAAAAAAAAAAACCTTTGACTCCAAACACACTTTCAAAAGTGGTGGCCCACTCAGTGTGTGGAGGCCAGCGACGATGCGTGTATAAGAACAAGTGAACTGCTTGGCACCCTCCCTTTTATGATGTTGTTCTGCAGCGGCACTCACCGGCGGAGAAAGTGGCCGTCCGTGCCGGGAGGACCCGGCGTTCTTGAGCAAAACCATGACTTCCTTGACATACTTTCGTCCCAAGAAGTGGCGATGATAGCGTCATCTCGTTATATGTCGGTTCTTACGGCTAGCAAACAGCAGCCGCCTAGTGTCCATAGCGCTCTCTTCAGGTTTCATTCAAACAGACGTCTTCTGCTTTGCGACTGCTCGCACGGTAGCAGATTTAAAAAGCGCATTATTATGAAATGACACTTGCATAACAAACGTCATAAACTCTTTGCGTCGCGCTTCTTAGCCATGCACATTTAGTGCAGGGTGTGTCTGTGCTCTGGCAAGAAGCTCTGATACCATTTAAAGGGAGCCACATTCCCTCGCTGAAACTTTCTGATTGCAAAGATTGAAGCGTGTGAAAGTTTGGCAGAAAAATGATTGTCTAAAGTAAAGATCAGTCTTACAGGATGCGCGATCTGAGATCGGGAAAACGATGTGTTGTTTTCACTCAGCGCTCACTTTATTTTTATTTATCCTTTTCTCCCGGGACACTGTGAAGCTTTCCCTCAGGCGTGACGTTTACGAAGCCATTTACGAATGCTTTCCTGGCATATTCTATTTGCTCTGGCTTAAGCTTGAAACGCTTCGTTTGGGAAACGCGAAAGTTGACCGTTGACACCAACATGTGGGACGAAAAAAAAAAAGACAGATGTTATGTGCAGTGGGAATCGATGATATGCGAAGCACAAATGAGGAAGGTTCATAACTGACTTTCAGATCAGCACAACGTTACGAGGCGAATGTAAATTATGCCGTACATAATTTTTAGGCCACGATTAACCGATGACGAAAGTAAATGACGTGTTATTTACCTTCGTCGTCTATTCACCTCACGTGATATAAATTTGTTATAAGCAGAGCTTGAGGAACGATCGTGAGCATACCATAAGCGCAGCATTTAGTTACAATTTACATGACACACATCTCATGATTATCATGTTTGGACGCGCCTTTACTTCCGTCGTCCATTGACGTGACGTAATACAAAGTTTGGTATACGTGAAGCTAGCGAAATGGCCGAGAGTGCATCATGAGTGTAGAATGTTGTCATGTTATTACATGACACAAATGCCATGATTATGTTTGCACCAGTCACATGCCTTCATCATTAATTCACGGGACGTTCTACCAAATTTGGTATATGTGAAGCAAACGAAACGGCCACGAGTGCATCATGAGCGTTGTATGTTGTCATGTTCTTAGATGACACGCATGTCATGATTATCGAGTTTGCACCAGTCATTTCACTTCGTCGTCAGTTCACGCCACGTAATGCCAAATTTGCTATATGTGAAACTAGCGAAATGACCCCGAACACACCATGAGCGTGGCATGTAGTCATGATTTACATCACATGCAGTTCGTGATTTCCACGTTAGGGTCTTTCACTTTTGTTCGCCATGCACTCATGTCATACCTTATCGGTTTCGCAACATGTTATGTGAACGAAAGGACCGCAAGAGCAGCAAGACCTTGAGATGTAAATCATTACATTCATGACATACATGTGATTTTCATGTTATGATCAGTCACTTATGCTCGCATACGGGCATGTTATGCCATACCACTTTTAGCATCGATACCAGCTTCGAAATAGCATGGAGAGCTGAAAGTCATAGGTGGGTAGATAGATAGATAGATAGATAGATAGATAGATAGATAGATAGATAGATAGATAGATAGATAGATAGATAGATAGATAGATACGCTTGAGGTCACCGATGTTCGCTAACGAATGCTTTGCATTTAAAAGAGTCATCCCGTGAGAACCTTACAGATCGCTGAAATTTTTGACGCGGTCATGCTCACGTCAGACGGATGCCTCAATTTTATCAACCATCTGCTTGAACTGCCTCCGAAAGCAGTGTGTGTGCAAACAGCCTAAAATCACCTGCACTTGAACTCATTCGTAGAGGACAAACACACAGGCGCCCTTATGGATTTACTTAAGACGATTCGAAGTTGAAAGCCACCTCATTTTTCTTCAGTCGATGTAACATTTTGCTCCCACTTCCTTCTGAAAGCTTTCTCGACCTAACATGGTTTGCCGTGCCTCCATGACCGATCAAGCAGGCACTGCAAAACCAGTTGAAGGCTTGCAAGGTTTTCGATCCTGAAGGGCATACTCCGAGAGCGATAGTGTGGTCGAGGTCATCGCCGCGCCACAAACTCAGTGCTCCGCCTGTTCGCGGGACTCATTCTATGCACTGCTCTGGAGCCTACACTCTGCTCATATCCTCGCTGCAGTGGCTGTCGCATGCTCTTTTGTGAATATAACACCGTGTGTTGGCGAGTGAATAAAGGAACCCTTCTACGCCTAATATTTTACTCATGGGTTGCGCAAACTAAAGTATCGACAGGATAACTCAACAAAAAACTACAGCGATAGCGGTTTATACTCCTAAGTTGTTAAGTTTAAAAAATTTAGAATACAAAAAAAAACATTCTTAATCCTTCCGTAACAGGAATCTGTTTAACATGAAAGCAAAATGTGCCCATACGGACGTAATTTAACGTTTACTGCAAATGGATACAAAGGAGTTTGCATAACGTACAACGTTAAAGTACCCTCGTTGACGCTTGGCAGTATATTTCCATACTGACAATTAACGTCTAATGTCCGTGATCAGCGATTAAACAAACTATTGCGGTAGCCGTATATTCCAATAGCGAGAGCGTAATTAGACGTAAGGAATGGAGCTAAAAGACCGTCGCTATTTGCACGCGGAACTTAAAATAAGGTCACGATCCCGTGGTATGGTAAAGTGCGACTGAACGCCATAGTCAAACTAGAGGGAAACGCTAAGCGCGTAGAGTCACCGCAGAAGCCCGGCCGCGAATTTTCTCGGCGAGAACGTAAGCGAGGAACGTTGTTTAGCAGCCATTGCAGTGACGCGCACGTCACACTTTGAATGAGAATTGTTTCTTAGTCGCACGATGTCACACTTCAGCGCTGGCCACGGCACCGTCCTTACAACCTAAACGAATAAGCGCGAGGGGAACAGGGACGGAAAATAAAAGACAAACTACAGCGCTGACTCGCAATTAAAGTTTATTCCTAAAGAAACTGGAGTTTCTGACATCTGAAAAAAGCAAAGCAGACCAGAAAACAACCATCGCGCAAGCTCAAAGTGACAAAACTCTATAAATTGCTAAGTGGCTAATGAAACGTGCAAGCTATCTGTGAGGTATAAAACTTCGGCGCCTGATAGTGTTATGGAAGGCTGGCTGATGCAATTATCACCTTCCAGTGTATTATAAAAAGCTCCCATGATTTCTCGGGACTGTTAGTCTCTGTGGCAACGCAAAGTTTTAGTCTTATCAATGTAAGGATTACAACCATTTCTGTGACATTGAATGGCCAAATGAGAACCTGTGCCATTTTTTACATTACGCGCATACCCCTGGACTCTTATATTCACGCATCGACTAGTTTGCCCAATGTTAACCTTGTTGCAAGAAAATGGTATGTTGTATACTGCATTGGTTCGACACCCAATGAATTTACTCCTATGTTTTATTGTGCATTTATTCTTTTTGTCGCACTTTTCTTCGTTTAGTTTCTTTTGCACAGCTGGACAAACTTGCCGCATTTTCCGACCAACACTGAAAACAACATTAACTTTGTATCTACTGCTCACGTTTTTAAGCACATGCGACAACCTATGCACATAAGGAATCACGGCTATAATATATATAGTTGTGAAAATTCTGTTTCCTTCTGTTTCCTTTTGCACACTCTTTACTTTCTTTGCCACTTTTTCTTGTAGGTGATAATTGCATCAGCCAGCCTTCCATAACGTCAACAGGCGCAGAAGTTTCATATCTCACAGATAGCTTGCACGTTTCATTAGCCACATAACGATTTATAGAGTGTTGTCACTTTGAGCTTGCTCGATGGTTCTTTTCTGGTCTTTGCTTTGCTTTTTTCAGATGTCAGAAACTCCGCTTCTCTTAGGAATAAACTTTAGTGTCGAGTCAGTGTTGTAGTGTGTCTTTTCTTTTCCATTCCTTGGTTTCTTCGTGCTAATATTCGTTTAAAATGGAAGTGCACCAACTCACCCGATTGTCCCTTCTGATGCGCCGTCCTTACCCCTTATGCTCATGTTTGTGTCTCGTACCGGCCCAGAAAAAAACCACTAAAGTGTCGCTTCCCTCCCCCTCTCTAACCTCGCAGGGATGACGCAAGCAGCGGCTGCTAGTAAAAAAAAAATTACAGCATGTCCACTGAAGTGAATGATGACGAGTGGAGTGACGCTCCTCACAGGGAGGTTAATCGCCCCAGTTGATCTTCAAACAAAAGACGTGAGAAAAACACTGTACTGGTATAAAAATTAACTCTTATTTTAGTAGGAAAAGACGGACGGCTTGTGAAGTCCCTTTTATATGACGGACAGACAGACGCAGGAATTAAGGGATGGACGCATGAACGCACGAACGATTCGATGCACTGACGAACTGACG